ACTAGTCCCAGAGCAAAGAGGTATGTCCTACGAGGAGAGGTTAAGGGAAATCAACCTGACGACACTGGAGGACAGTAGAGATAGGGGGGACATATAACGACATACAAAATACTGAGAGGAATTGACAAGGTGGACAAAGACAGGATGTTCCCAGAGATTGGACACAGTAACAAGGGGACACAGTTGGAAGCTGAAGACACAGATGAATCACAGGCATGTTAGGAAGTATTTCTTCAGCCACAGAGTAGTCAGTAAGTGGAATAGTTTGGGAAGCGATTTTGTGGGGGCAGGATCCATACATAGCTTTAAGCAGAGGTATGATAAAGCTCACGGCTCGGGAGAGTGACCTAGTAGCGATCAGTGAAGAGGCGGGCCAGGAGCTGGGGACTCGACCCCGCAACCTCAATAGGTGAGTACAACTAGGTGAGTACACACACACACACACACACACACACACAACACACAAAAACACACACACAACACACACACAACACACACACACCCCACACACACACACACACACACACATACACACATACACACACAACACACACAACACACACAACACACAACACATACACACAACACACACACACAACACACTTTACACACCCCACACACACACACACACACACACACACACACACACACACACACACACACAACACACCCCACACATACCACACACATACACACACACACCACACACACACACACACACACACACAACACACACACACACACACACAACACCACACACAACACACACACACACACACACACACACACACACACACATAACACACCACACACACACACACACACACACACACCACACACAAAACACACACACACACACACACCCCAAAACAACGCACACAACACACACAAAACACACCACACACACTAACACACACACACACACCACACCAATGTACACACATGCATACACACACCCACACCCCACACACACACACACCACAACACACACACACACACCACACACACACGCACACACACACAACACACACACACACGCACAGCGTTGAGCTGTAGTGACAATAACGTTTATCTTCATCTATGGCCCTAAAAGGAAGGTGACACGGCTGTAGAATTCTCGATATCTTGTTGTAAAGAACTCAAGCTTCCTTCTACCTCATCGGATGACACCTTGTACCATTCCTCACCTCAGTCTTGGAATCATTCTTACAGATTAACCTTTCCTCTTGATTATATTAATAATTACAATTAAGTAAAGATCTCACTGACAGTAGAGGAGACGCGATGTCATTGAGATATAAAATATTGTCTGTCTACCTGTGGAGGAGTAGCAGAAGTCTCCAGATCACATTGCAACAATACACTTATTGCTATACCTAGTTTATATTTTAAATACTTCCAAATGCTACGTGCCTTTATGTGGTAAAACCAACCATCATTTCTGTGCGTATTCTGGGCTGCGTTATAGCTTGTTTCCTAAGCGTGGATTATGTTACCTACAGAACATACCCTTTGAAGTCTGGGAGCGTAATTACTTATAAATCATAACATCTCCTCTCTTCAATGATCTTCTAGAAATATTAACAATGAGCCAATTTGTGGTGTGTGAGTGTGTGTGTGTGTGTGTTGTGTGTGGTGTGTGTGTGTGTGTGTGTGTGTGTGGGGTGTGTGTGTGTGTGTGTGTGGTGTGTGTGTGTGTGTGTGTGTCTGTGTGTGTGTCTGTGTGTGTGATTACTTGTTTGTAAATACCTATTGGTAGTAACAATTTGTTGTAACAGGAAAAAAGCTCCGCTCGTGGTTTCCCGTCTCCCTGTAACAGCAACTTTTTCAACAGTTGTAACACAACCTTCTCCCAGAGCACATTCTACTCTTCAATTTCTCTGTTTGTAAACGTCTGTATTTTTTCATTCATTTATATAACTCTTCTTCGTTGCTTTTGAGGATTTCCTTATGACTTCTCCATTCGAAGATTCAAAGAATTTCAAGTCTTATTGCTTTTCATAGAGATTAATTGATTCATAGAGGGTTGTCATTGTGACGTTTATGTATCTACCAGCGATGGCAGTTTATTGTGTCCAGTCGTTCTATAAAACTTACATATTGTGTCCAGTCGTTCTATAAAACTTACATATTGTGTCCAGTCGTTCTATAAAACTTACATATTTTGTCCAGTCGTTCTACAAAACTGACATATTGTGTCCAGTCGTTCTATAAAAACTTACAAAATTTGTGTCCCCGTCGTTCTATAAAACTTACATATTGTGTCCAGTCGCTCTATAAAACTTACATATTGTGTCCAGTCGTTCTACAAAACTTACATATTGTGTCCAGTCGTTCTACAAAACTTACATATTGTGTCCAGTCGTTCTACAGAACTTACATGTTGTGTCCAGTCGTTCTACAAAACTTACATGTTGTGTCCAGTCGTTCTACAGAACTTACATGTTGTGTCCAGTCGTTCTACAGAACTTAATTGTTGTGTCAGTCATTTACAGAACTTACTATTGTTGTTCAGTCGTTCTACAGAACTTACATGTTGTGTCCAGTCGTTCTACAGAACTTACATGTTGTGTCCAGTCGTTCTACAGAACTTACATGTTGTGTCCAGTCGTTCTACAGAACTTACATGTTGTGTCCAGTCATTCTACAGAACTTACATGTTGTGTCCAGTCGTTCTACAGAACTTACATGTTGTGTCCAGTCGTTCTTCAGAACTTACATGGTTGTGTACAGTCGTTCTACAGAAAACTTACATGTTGTGTCCAGTTCGTTCTCAAAACTTACATATTGTGTCACACAGTCGTTCTACCAGATACTTACATTGTTGTGTCCGTCGTTCTACAGAAACTTACATGTTGTGTCCAGTCATTTTCTAACAGAAAATTAAATGTTGTGTCCAGTCGTTCTACAGAACTTACATGTTGTGTCCAGTCGTTCTACAGAACTTACATGTTGTGTCCAGTCGTTCTACAGAACTTACATGTTGTGTCCAGTCGTTCTACAGAACTTACATGTTGTGTCCAGTTCGTTCTACAGAACTTTCATGTTGTGTTCTTTTGTGTCCAGTCGTTCTACAGAACTTACATGTTGTGTAGTCAGTCGTTCTACAGAACTTACATATCTTGGACAACTGGATTCGAGTTTTGCTACGTTATCTCTTAACTTGATATTTTTTTCTTTTATTAGTAATTGTCCTAATTTAACTATTCTTTATTTTTGACGGTAGCTTTCTGCATCTATATACTTGAAGGCTATCTCAAAATTTTTGGTATTTTTCAATGATAATGTGTGAAGACGACACATGTGCAACACCTGGAGTCCCATGAGAGACGTGTTGCTCTGAACGGGACATCATGGAAGATAAGATTGATGCTGGTGAAGGGTCCTTGATATAAGGAATTGGACCTGAGTTCCAGTTCCTTGAATCAGACTTGAATACCTTCTATCGTCCCAGCTACTGTATGAATCGCAGTTAAGATAATGAGATATTGTACTTGTCTTTTATTCATCATTTTGACTGTATTCCTTTTTATTGATATTCATTATGATAATGCTGTATTATCATCCCTAGATCATCCCACATGGCTTGTACTCCCTTACAAATGCTACGAAATATTTATTAGTATATTCGAAGAATTAAAAAATTCTCTCTCTTTGAAGTAACCAGATTTTCCCTTGATTATAGTAAGCAAATATTGGACGCAATTTTCCTCTTGTTTGTTGATGGCCACCGATGTAAATTTTGGGAACTATTTTTTTTATAAAAAAACCAGTTTGTGTATCATTTACAGTGAAATATATCTTACGAATTTTGAGAATAAACGAGCATTCTATAATTGCATGGTTCTTATCGGTTAATTTCGTACGGATAATGCACGTCTCTCTGTTATATTAACGAATACGAGGTTGCTGGCTCGACTGTGCCCTCTCACGAACGACCGTTCATCCATGTTTAATTTCTTATATCGAGGCCTCCTTTTCCCCATTATAAATATCTATAAATTATATAAACATTTAAACATCCCTTATCTTATTTCCCTCCCCCTTTTAGAGAACTAATAGAAACTTCTAATATTATGCTGAGTGTTTGTGATATATATTTGGTGAACTTATATTCATGATGTATATGGCAGTAGAGTAATGTATTCCTGGGTTTAGAAAAACAATCAGTGTTTCCTAATGCAAGTTTGCTTTATTTCCCTTCAATCCTTGCAACAAACTTATTTTCTGTTGTTTTGTTACTTATGTGTCATTTTGTATAGTATGTATTTATATATATTTTTATATTAAAATTATAATATTTTTATATATTTTAATATATATATATTATTATATATTTAAAAATATATATATATATTAAAATATATATATATAATATATTATATATGTATATATATATTTTATATATATATTATATATATGATATATATATAATATATATTTAATATATATATATATATATATATATATATATATATATTTATTTTTATATATATATATATACATATTTATATAATTTATATATATATTTTTATTATATATATTTTTATATATATATATTATATATATTATATATATATATATATAATTTTATATATTTATATATATATATGTATGTTATATAATATATATATAATATATATATATAATATATATATATATTATATATATATATATAATATATATATATATATTATATATATACAATAAAATATGTGTACATATTTTTATGTGTCTCATGTCCTTTCCCGTTTTGGTTTGTAAAGTATTGCTTTAAATTTTAATAAGATTAAGAAATTAATAAACAAATATAATTGATGATAATTTATTAATAAATGAATCATATTCGTTCTATTGTTGCTTCTTTTATTTAGTACATACATTATTTCATGAGTTGTCGACGATACAAATTCACGTCCTAACGTTATTTTACGTTTGCACTGTTATGGCTCTCAACACCCAGTTTTATGTAGTCGATTAACCCGTTTTTTCTGGCACAGGTGATACAGGACTGGAAGTTCGTGGCGATGGTGCTGGATCGTCTCTTTCTTTGGGTATTTACCATCGCGTGCGTGGTAGGCATGTGTGGGATAATCTTCCAGGCTCCTTCACTCTACGACACTCGTCAGCCCATTGATGAGATCTACTCAGAGATCGGGACAGCTACTTACTTCGCTTCTTCACATCACTAGAAAGAAGTCTGAAACACTGCAATTAGCTGTGTGTGTGTGTATGTTTGTGTGTGTATGTCTGTGTGTGCATGTGTGTGCATGTGTGTGTGTGTGTGTGTGTGTGTGTGTATGTGTGTGTGTATGTGTGAGTGTGCGTGCGTGCGTGCTTAAAGGTAAAAACAATCGCTCACTCATCCAAGACGGCTTTGCCTCAGTAAGCCTTCTCGCATAGTTGAAACAATAACATATACATGTTATATGATCCCTCACGAGATTATACATATTGTATGACCTATCCTGAAAGGCTGTTATCCACCCCTTCATGTTCCAGGGTTGTGTGATTATATCTGTTACCAAGTAATTCACATGTTATACAATACTTGTTATGGGCTTTGTTCACATGGTTATTGATTAAGCTCAAAGGGTGTCAGCGACTGCAGTAGGATCGTCGACCAACTCTCACCCAGGATGTAAACAGATGACAGACTTCTCAAGCAAGCTTTAGTCTGAGGTGACCCGTCGACAGTGAAGATATCCTCTGCCGTGTCTTCTTGTTGTTATCCATAACCGTAATGTTAAGGGAGTGTATAGGGCGTTTTATAAGCAAACGATCTGTACATATACAAACGAGTTTAACAAAAGTAGAGGTAATGTTTGTTGAAAGATTGTATTAAATATCAACCACTTCTTTCTTGAGGTTCATAGTCAATGGTTTTTTTTATGCCATTAGTAGATGTGGTTTTAAAACACATTATCGTCTCAGTTAAATCTTCAGTGTTTCCGAAATCGATATAAAATTTGTACAATTTTTTTACAGCTATTTACGAGTTAGCTTTATAGTCTTAGCAAGTAGGTCTCTTCAGATCCCACACATTTTTGTTAGTATACGGCTGATGGTTTTGATGCTAGTGCACCAAAATCAAGGGTCACCTGAAACCCATGGCTGGACGTCATAAACGAAACACCAAAAGCTATGCTACTGTGATCTTATTGTTGCATATATATATATATATATATATATATATATATATATATATATATATATATATATATATATATATATATATATATATATATATATATATATATATATATATATATATATTATTAACTCATCGGACGTCTCCCACCAAGACAGGGTGGCCCGAAAGAGAGAAACTTTCACCGTCATTCACTCCATCACTGCCTTGCCAGAGGTATACTTACACTACAGTTATAAAACTGCAACATTATCATCCCTCATTCAGAGTGTAGGCACTGTACTTCTCATCTGCAGGACTCAAGTCCGGCCTGCCGGTTTCCCTGAATCCCTTCATAAATGTAACCTTGCACATAGTCCAACAGCACGTCAAGTCCTAAAATCCATTTGCCTCTATTCGCTCCTATCTTAGACATTCACGCATGCTTACTGGAAGTCCAAACCCCCCTCACACAAAACCTCCTATAATCCCTCCCTTGCCTTCCCTCAACTACAGATTTATACACCCTCGAAGTCATTCTATTTTGTTCCACCCTCTCTTCATGTCCAAACCACCTCAACAACCCCTCCTCAACCCTCTGGATAATAGTTTTAGCAATCCCGAACCTCCTATCTTCCAAATTACGAATGCTCTACATTATATTCTCACCACACATTGCCCTCTGATATAACATCTCCACTGTCTCCAGCCTTCTCCTTGTTGCAGCATTCATCACCCATGCTTCACACCCATATAAGAGCGTTGGTAAAACTATATTCTCATACATTCCTCTTTTTGCTTCCATGTACAAAGTTCTTTGTCTCCACAGATTCCTAAGTGCACCACTTTATGATTCACCTCATCTTTCATAGACCCATCTGCTGACACGTTCACTCCTAAATATCTGAAAGCATTCACCGTATTGCAAATATATATATATATATATATTATATATATATATATATATATATATATATATATATATATATATATATATATATATATATATTATATATATATATATGTCGTGCCGAATATGCAAAACTGGTCAATTAGCAAGAACTCATTTAAAATTAAGTACTTTCTGAAATTTTCTCTTAACGTTTAAAGATATATTTTTTTCATTAATGTTAATGAAGAAATTTTTAATTTTGCACCAAAAGAATCTTAGAAAACTTACCTAACCTTATTATAACAAGAGCAATTTATTTTAGCCTAACCCAACTAAATATATTTTAAATACGTTTACAGTAATTTAGTACTAAACAAACTCAATCAAATTTTTTTTTTCGCTAGGTTCAGAATGATTTTGGCGAAATTATTGCATACACAAATTTTCACTTGTCCTATTTGGCAAGATGAGCGTTGCTGTTTAAGACAAGATCGCAAGTTCTGCCTATTCGGCACAACATATATATATATATATATATATATATATATATATATATATATTATATATATATATATATATATATATATATATATATATATATATATATTATATATAATATATATATATAATATATATATATTATATATGTATACATACATTGTGTGTGTGTGTGTGTGCAATAAGGTCACAGTAAACAGGTGATATCAGAATGTACAGAACAACCACGGTGGAAAAAATAGTGAAATTACAAGCACTTTCATGACTTCTCACATTAGCATGGAACTACAAAAATAAAACATCAACAGGAAGGCATATCGGGCAAGACTACACCTAACCACTTCACAGTCATGTCACGTGTTGTGATGTGATTGTGAGGTGTAGTCTTGCTCTCATATGCCTTCCTGTTGATGTTTTATTTTTGTAGTTCCATGATAATGTGAGAATTCACGAAAGCGATTGGAATTTCACTCTTTTTTCACCGTAGTTGTTCTATATATATATATATATATATATATATATATATATATATATATATATATATATATATATATATATATATATATATAATATATATATATATATATATATATATATATATATATATATATATATATATATATAATATAAATATATATATATATATATATAATATATATATATATATATATTATATATATATATATATATATATATATATATATATATATATATATTATATATATATAATATATATAATATATATATATATTATATATATATATATATATATATAGGTAGCACTTCTAGTACTCACAGGGGACTTATAGTCTTGGGACAAAAAATATTTGTAAAGGGTATAATGATACAGTCTAACTGTGGAAAAGGTCACTTGTAGTCAGCTGAGGGCATTTATTTGAGGAAATGTTTGCCCACGAGTATGACTCATTGATGCCGCTCGTGGCGTAACGTTTTCTTAAGAAATGTCCTGAATTGTATACAAATGTTCGTCTGAGATGAGAATAAACGCTCAGCAGGGAAAAATCTGGAGATTTCCCTAATCTATTTGCTTAATTTCTTCCGTTACCATCAGTAGTCTTCATGAGATAGTTTTCAATTTATTTAAAACATAAATATACTTAAAAAATATACATGGAAAGTTAACACGCATTACATCACAGAGTCTATATCTCAGATACTTCATTCAGTGGCCCAGAATGCCGCAAACATTTCTTCTCTGGATCACAACACTGAGTCAAAGGGAAAGGAAGAAAATCCCTTTCTGGTCACTGGTTTCCATGATGTCAATTAACCCTTTCAGAAACTTGGGAGCACACTTTCCTTATTTTCCAAGGCTTTCTGATCCTACTCGAAAGGTTTTATTGCATGATGCCAGGCTGTTGTTCGTCAAGATCTGAAATTAACGTCACTACCCCTTTCAGAATAAGTTTTGTAGGTACGTACATTGTCTCAGATATAGTCTTTCCAGTGTAGCATGGTGACTCCATTTGGACTCTTCTGTCTATCTATATATATTTTACATTTTTCCAAATAAAACGTCTGTAAATGACATCTGTATCATAAATCTGTATTATAAATCGATGAACTTTTGTGTAAAAACAATGAAAACGTCCTTAATTCCTCTCAGTTTTCAAAAAAGGTCACCCCTAAGTAAAAACTATGAATCACCATATATTTGCGTTACTACTCATAATTAGCAACTCAGGAAAGTTCTAATGGTCTTTACATTTCGGTGGAAAGCGCAGTGATGAAAATGAGTATCAGGTATTAGTACTTAAAAAATAAAATAACCGAAGTAAAACTGGATGCACTGCATTTGAAAGATGACAAGGCTGAAACTATTGTTGTAGGAATGGCAAAAGTTACTGATAAATGCAACTTATGGAATGCAATAAAGATGATCATTACTGATACAACAAATGTTAACACGTGGAAAAAGGGAGGAGCTGTTGTCAAACTGCAACGAATGTTCTCAGAGAAGGGGATTAGCAAACCACAATTTATCATTTGTCAGCATCACATTCTGGACAGGATTCTCCGTTTGGGAATGGTGAATTATGAGGAACTAAAGGCACAGTTTGTTAACGGAACAGAAGTAAAAAAAAAAGGACATTTCCTTTGATTAACTTTCAGAAAATTCAAAATATCAGCAATGCGAGGTGGAATTCAAGAACCATTCTAGCTACTCTTGTATTCATTCTCATACCTACAAGACGAAAGACTTTGTAGAAGATATGTAGATTCATTTCATACACCTGGGCAGATTATTGGTTTACTGATCAGATGTACAATGAAAATGTTTTCAAGAATTTGTCAGAAATATTGAAACCTTACAAAAATCCTGAACTCATGGAAAAATCACTGGAAGCAGGAGCCGTCCACACTCAATATACCAAGAAGTAATCAGTGTGCTGAACGTGCAATCAAAGTCATGCAGGAACAATATGCTGTCTGCAGAAACAAAAACAAACCAACGTCTGTTTATTCTAAGCAATAGGTAGTAATATATGTACAAACATGATAACAATGATGCTTTAAGCTGTTTTATTTGTTATTAATGTTACATGCAACATACATTCAATTTACTTATTTTCGTTACTCATTTTTTTTTCATTTAGGGGCGACTTTTCTAAAAGATATTGAAATGAAAGGTCATTGCTTTTAGGCAAAAGTTCGTCTGATTAAGATACAGGAATATTACGTTGTAAAAACAGTTATAACCCTAATATATATATAATATATATATATATATATATATATATATATATATATATATATATAATATATATATATATATATATATATATATATATATATATATATATATATATATATATATATATATATATATATATATATATATATATATATATATATATATATATATATATATATATATATATATATAACAACACTGCGGCTAGTCAAGGACTCGAACCCATGCTCCTTTGGCCTGCCTCATGGTGAGTGAAAACTCATGACACCTTAGTCCACGGGACTACACAATCCTTAAGAGTAGCGCATCCAGCAGAACTGGATGTTGTACTCGCTATCCAAGGACATAAGTTGCTGTAGATGACTCTAAGCTAATTTCATTCTACTCACTGTTTGGTGTACTAGTGCAACGAGCAGTATTTTATATTATTGTACCCACGAACAAGTGGTATTAATCAATAACAACACTGCGACTTATCAAGGAGTCGAACACATACCGGGAGTAGAATGAAATTAGCCTAGAGTCATCCACACCACCGTATGTCCTTGGGTAGCGAGTACAACATCCAGTTCTCCTGGATGCGCTACTCTTAAGGATTGTGTTGTCCCGTGGATTAAGGCGTCATGAGTTTTTGCCCACCATGAGACAGGCCAAAACAGCATGGGTTCGACTTCTTGACTAGTCGAAGTGTTATTGATGAATGCCACTTGTTCGTGGGTACAATAATATATATGTCGTGCCGAATAGGTAAAACTGGTCAATTAACAAAAACTCACTTAATATTAAGCTCTTTCTTAGTTTTCTCTTATACGTTTAAAGATATATTTTTTCATTAATGTTAATGTAAAGATTAATAATTATGCACCAAAACAGCCTTAGAAAACTTACCTAAGCTTATTATAACTAGAACAGCTT